CCTTTCCCCGGGATGTTGTCCTCCAGGGGATCCCTCCGATACAGCAGCTACCTGGGCACCGACGGACTGCCATACCCCCCCATGGGCCCCCACAGCCTGCTCCCCGTGCCCCTCCCCTACGCGCCCTCTCAGCCACACGGGGGCCTCAAGGAACTGACCCCCAACATCTCGCCGCCGCGAGGGGCCCCCGCCACCCCGGAGCTGTCGCCTCCCCCCAAGCCCAGCGGCCAGTCCCCCCAGCAGAGCCCCCCCGGCTGCGAGGAGGCCATGAACCTGAGCACGGCCAAGTGCGGGGCGGCGCCGCGCCACGGCCCCGGCCACCGGGCGCTGCCCTACCCGCTCCGCAAGCAGAACGGCAAGATCCAGTACGAGTGCAACATCTGCTCCAAGACCTTCGGCCAGCTGTCCAACCTGAAGGTAGGCTCAGCCTAGCCCCGTCGCTTCTAGCCCGGAGCCTAGACCCAGCCCAGGTCAGAGAGCCTAGCTCTGACCCTAGCCCAGGTCAGAGAGCCTAGCCCTGACCCTTGCCCCCTGTCTCCTGCAGGTCCACCTCAGAGTGCACAGCGGCGAGAGGCCGTTCCAGTGCGACATCTGTAAGAAGAGCTTCACTCAGCTGGCCCACCTCCAGAAACATCACCTGGTGCACACGGGGGAGAAGCCGCATGAGTGTCAGGTGAGGCCACAGCCCTAACCCCAACTCTGACCCTACCCTAGAGCCTACTAACCCTAAACCTAACGCTACCTCTATCCCTAACCCTAACCCTGACCCTAACCTTAGGAGCCTAGTGATACAGCCCCTAATCCTACCCCTACCCCTAACCCTGACCCCACCCCTAACCCTAACTTTAAGAGCCTAGTGATACAACCCCTAACCATTCCCCTAACCGTGACCGTAGCCCTAACCCTAACCCTAACCTGTCCGCTCTGATTCCCAGGTGTGCCACAAACGCTTCAGCAGCACCAGTAACCTGAAGACACACCTGCGTCTGCACTCGGGGGAGAAGCCGTACCAGTGCAAGCTGTGCAGCACCAAGTTCACGCAGTACATCCACCTCAAGCTGCACCGCCGGCTGCACAGCGCCCGCGAGCGCCCCTACCGCTGCCCGCTCTGCGCCCAGGCCTTCTTCCACCGCTTCTCGCTGTGCCTGCACCAGCGCGCCGGCTGCCCCCCCTCCACCGCCGCCGCCCCCCCCGCCGCCGCCGCCGGCCTGCACCTGAAGGAGGCGGTGGAGCGCTTCGACGCCAGCCAGGAGGCGGACGCGCTGCCCGAGGCGGCCTCGGCCCCCCAGCTGGCCGACGCCCTGGAGCGCTGGCTGACCCGCACGCTGGAGGGGGAGGAGGACCAGCAGGGGGCCGTGGGCGCCCTGCTGCAGACGCTGGCCTCTGCCGCCGCCGCCGGCCCGCCGGGCGCCCACAGCCCCCCCCGGGCCCACCCGCAGAGGGCCAGCGTGGTGCACCTGCACAGGCGGCCGGCGGTGAAGTCCGAGGGCCAGTGAGCCGAGGAGGAGCAGGTCGGAGGAGCAGGTGTCGCCAAAGTCCCCCCCCTTCTGCCCCCAGAGAGGGAACATTTCCTGATCCAATGAGCACCAAAAGAGCACATTCCAAAGACTGGGGGGCCACACGCCCCCCCCGGAGCTGAAGCAAAGCTGTGAATCACTTCACTCAGGTAGAACGTTGTTTTGTCGTGCGTTAACTTATTACTCTTAAAGGAGCGTCCCTATTTATTTAGCTGTACTAGAGCTGGTTCCTCTGTGGTTTCAACACTCCTTTGGACTCAGGAAACGCGGCGTGCACGGGCCAGCCGTTTGAGCGGCGGCCCGTGCGCACGCGCACAAACTCAGCTGTGTGTGATTTTTATGTATTTATGACCAAGAAAGCGAACGCGTGATGTGGAAACGAGCATTTGCCAAAAAAAAAAAAAGAAAAAAAGTGGAGCAGGACTGTGGATCTTTGATGGAGTCCTTCACAGGGAGGAGGGGGCTCCCAGCACCGTGCTGCATTCACTGTCTCACAAAGCTTTACTGCAGATGTCTGTAAACTCCAGCTTCGTCCAAATCTTCTTCCTGACACGAGCACCTGGTGCTGAGCCCTCAAACAGGAGAAACAGCTGCATGCGGAGGAAAACCTCTGACCTCCTTCATGATCAGACATGTTGCTTCTTTTTCATGTAGTTTTATACTTTTGTACAGTTGGTTTGTTTCCGTAGTTTATTTTTCAAACAGGTTTGAGATGTTCTAAATTTATATGTGAGAGAATATTTTGATGATACTTTTCTATCTCCTGATGTAGCACATTAAACATGTTGTTTCTAGAAGTGCTGTGGTGTTTTTCATGCTGTGTTGCTCTGATCCGATCACTGGAGAGACCAGCAGGACCCTGAAAGCCCCTCAGCCTGCTGAGGCCTCAGATTAGCATGCACACGTACACGTATGCATCTGCTCACGTCTCACACCCCAAGGTCTGCTTTCAGGCAGAAAGGGTCTCTGTGGTTACGTATTGGATCCAAGTCGGTTTGGATCGGGGCCTTCCTGGAGGGGAGGCTAACATCTGGGCCTCGTAGGGTCCGTGGAGGCAGCGGGAGCCTCTCCCTGGAGGGGCCCTCTCTTCCCACATGCTTTCCTCAGCCTGGCCAAACCGCGGCTCTGCAGAGGAGGGTGACAGAGGAACCCAGTCGGGTGACTTTGGGTGCCTGAACCGTCCTCCTCCTGACTCAGTCCCGCTTCACCCGACCCGATTAATCTGCCTGCCGTTAAAGCTGCTAATTGAATTTCCTCCTAGTTTCCGTTGCGCAGGCCTGGACCTTCGTCACTGGGCCTGGTTCACATGGTTCTTGGAAGCCGGGCCGGTTCAAGCTGCCTCAGAACTAAACCCTTTTGGTCTCTGTGGGTCTCTGTGGGCCTCTGTGGGCTCTTTAGGTCTCTGTGGGCCTCTGTGGGCCTCTGTGGGCTATTTAGGTCTCTGTGGGTCTCTGTGGGCTCTGTGGGCCTCACAGTCGTGGTTCCAATGAGGTTCGGGACTCCTCTGACAGGCCTCAGCAGCTCCAGTCAGAGTCTGAGAGTTTGGGTCTGCAGACAGATTCTGAGCTCATGGTTTCAGAAGCTGGCGCTGAACATCTGGGCGGTTCAGGGCGGTTTCGGGTCACATAATCGCAGGCCGAACGTCACAGCTGCACCAAACAAGTGAAACCCAGAAGAGGCTTCTTCCATGGTGGCAGCGTTCGCACTTTCAGTCCACTAATTCTGTCTCAAACTTACTGAAACCATGATCAGTTCTTTACAGTAATCCCTCCCCACCTCTGGGCCTGGCTGCGGTGTAGTGTTTCCTTTCGTGGGGAGAACCCCGCAGAAAACACCTCCACACCGCTGACCAGAAACCTCAGACCTTTAATTTGCTCCGTGCCACGCTGACATGAAACCCTCAGGCTGCTGGCTCCACCTTCAGCTCCCTCTGAGAGGCTTCAGCTCCCTCTGAGGCCCCAGAGAACCACAGAGTCCTACAGAGACCCACAGAGAGCCACAGAGACCAACAAAGAGCCAGAGAGACCCACAGAGAGCCACAGAGACCCACAGAGACACACAGAGAGCCAGCTAAACCCACAGAGAGCATGAGAGAGCCACATAGACCCAAAGAAAGCCACAGAGAGCCACAGAGACCCACAGATAGCCAGAGAGAGCCAGAGAGACCCACAGAGGGCCAGATAAACCCACAGAGACCCAAAGAGAGCCACATAGACCCACAGAGAGCCAGAGAGAGTCACCTAGACCCAAAGAGAGCCAGAGAGAGCCACATAGACCCAAAGAGAGCCACAGAGACCCACAGAGAGCCAGAGAGGCCCAGAGAGCCCACCGAGGTCCACAGGGACCCGCAGAGACCCACAGAGAGCCACAGAGGCTCACAGAGAGCCATTAACTCATTAAGAGTCAGCTGGATGGCTAAAAAAGGCAGTGAAATGGTCTGAATTTTGTTCTGGCCTGTTGTTCAGCTTTGCTCCTGGTTTCCTGAATGGAGCCCAGCAGCTCTGGCTGTTGTTGACTGGGACTTAAAGGAAAAGGCGAACACCGTCCGGCCTTTCTCTGAAAGCGCCGGTTGACTTCAGTTGGTGGCGGCTGCAGCCCAACCCTCCCTCGCTCTTTGTGCTCTTCCTTAGAAGTGGCTGTTTGTGGATTACCAACAAATATCTTCATCGCATCAACAAACCCCCGGGCATCATGTGACTTTCAGCTTTCACTCTCAGTTCAGAGGAACAACCGAGCGGCCGATACCAGCAGGGTGAGCGTGTGTGTGTGTGTTTTTGTGTGTTTGTTTGTGTCGACACTGCTCTTAGCTCGCGGCTGACGGATGCTTTTCCTCCGGCCTTCAGAGGAGCTCCTGGCGGAGTGGGCGCAGCCGTTTATGGGAGGTCGCCTGAGGGAGTGGCGCTATGAGCCACAGCTCAAAACAATCTGTGGGTCCAAAGGTTGACAGCCCGACAGTGGAAGGTGACAAGTGGGGAGTCAGAGTCCACACAGCGACAACAGAGAGAAGGACGGTCACAGAGCCAGCAGTCTGAGAGCCCCACTCTGTCCAGACCGGAGGCCGGATCTGAGCCCCAAGTTCAGACCTGAACCCCTCCGAGCTTCCTGTCTGTGCGTGTGTGTGTGTGTGTATGTGTGGGCAGATGAGAAGGTGAAACAAACCTGTCTCCTCATCCTGTGTGCCGGATGAACACGTCACAACATCAACCTGAAACCGAAGCTCTGATCCGGCTGATGTCAGGATGAGAGAACCACCAGTCACGGCTCTCGTGTCCAGCAGCTCGCGGGCCTTTCGGTTCAGTGCCCGCAGCGTGCGCTCGCCGGTCTCGTGGCGCCACCGTGAGGAACAGCAGGGTGGCGCAGAGGATGCGCATCCGGCTGCAGAGCCCACTGTGACCACAGGGCGTCGCTGTGCGGCCGCACAGATGAGGCTCATCATCTCGTGTTTGAAAAGCTGTGATACTGAAAGGAAATGAGTCAGTCTGAAGATCTGTGAGACGAAACTGAGTCCGTCTGAAAGTCAGAGACCAGAGGACCACACTGATCCTGATGCAGACCCAGAACTCCAAGAGACCCAGGACCCAGAAAACCTAGAAAACAGGCACAACCAATGGAGGAAATCTGAGCCAAAGTCTCACAGCGAAACAGAAAAACACCAAATAAAACTAATCAAATGCCTGAGACACACCCCCAGGAGGCCAACCCCTCCACCTGCCTCCCCAGAGGAGTCCTCAGCCCCTCCCTCACAGAGCTCTGCTTCTGACCCGACCTGTCTGCCCATCCCAGAACCAGATCCATAGGATCAACTGGAGCTGAAGGGGAGACTCAGGGGTCCAGCACCGTCAGAACAGAGCACTGACACACACACACACACACACACACCTGTCCCATCACATTAAGCTTCTGCTGGCCCCTGCTCCTCTGCTGGCCGTGAGTCAGGTGACCGGTGGGCGGGGCTGTTCCAGCTCCTGCACCCTGAGGCGGATGTGGAGGTTCCGGTGTCACTGATGCCCCCCGTCAGCATCTGCAGCCCCAGCCTCCCACCTCCCCCCCCCCCCCCCCCCAACCACGCATGTTTGCACAGTTTCGGATGACAGGACGCTGCTTTAACGCGCCGTCCAAGCGCCCTCGGGGCGGATCAGCGGGTGGGTGTTGGTCCTGGAGGGCGTGCCGCCCCACCTGAGAGTCGCACACTGCTCACAGCCTCTGTCAGCGCGAGCTGTGTGTGCTGTGAGCGCGTGTGTCCGACCCTGCCCCGCGTGCAGCTGCCCCCCCCCCCCAGTCTGCCCCCCCGTCTCCCCCCCCATCCCACCATGGCGAAGAAGAGCTCATCCAGAAAGACCCTGAAGACTTTGTTCTCCAGGAGCAGCGCCGCCGCGGACCAGCCTGCGCACGAGGAGGAGGAGAGCAGGAGGTTCAAGCTCCCGAAGTTAAAGATCAAGTGGAGGAACGCGCCCGCCTCCGAGATGTTGGATACCGGGGGCCGGCCGGTGCACAGGTATGCCCGGTTAATGGGTTCGGGGAGGATCTCAGGTGGAGGTTCAGCCTGTAGGACTGAGTTTATGGGCAGCATCGGGTTGTGGTTCTGGTTCTAGTTCATGGGACCGGTTAGGGTGGGGATCAGCATGCTCTGCCAGGTTGTGGTCCTTCTGGGGGGCCGGGCTGCAGAAACAGCTCTCTGATGGTAGAAGCAGCTGGTGGCTGGAGCCCCACAGGAGGCTGCTCTCTGCTTCCTGTTAGGGGCCTGCGCTGGTCACTGAGCCAGGACGCCACCTCTGAGAGCCTCTGAGAACCTCCGACAACCTCTGAGAACCTCTGAGAGCCTCCTATAGCCTTTGAAAGCCTCTGAGAACCTCTGAGAGCCTCTGAAAGCATCTTAGAGCCTCGGAGAGCCCCTGAGAGCCCCCTATAGCCTCCGAGAGCCTATATGAGCCCCTGAGAGCATCTTAAAGCCTCTGAAAGCCCCTGAAAGGCTCTGGGAGCTGGCCGTGCATTCCCTCAGCATGGCCTCATTTCTCCAGGGGTTCCTCTCCTCTTTGTCCTGCTGCCGTTGAGGCGGAGCCTCCGGTCCTCAGTACTGGAGTTCTGCAGAAGGGTTCAGCGTAGCCGTCCCCCTGATGTTTGGCTGCGTTTTTAGCGTGTTGTGGGGTAAACCGTGCTGTTGTGAGGTCAGATGCAGTTAACTGGAGCTCTCTGTCTGAGTGAGAGCATTTCTGTTTGGGGGCTTCAGGCTCTTCAGGTCTACAGAGTCCACCTGGATGAGATGGAGCCGGAGGCAGAAGTACAGCTGGATGGTGTTTTTTTTTTGGAGGCTGAAGACTGACCTCATGCCCTCAGATGAACTGAACATCTGGCAAACGCTGTTCCACTTCTTCCCAGAGAGCAAAGTCTGCCCGGCCCACGCAGCCATAAATGGTTCCCAAACACTGAACAACTGTCTGCACACAGTGAGCCGCTCTGGCTGATAACAGCACAACAGTTTACCCAGCTCTCTGTGCCAGATGGCCTTCTGAGCTCCGGTCCCGGAGTGGCGCCCAGCCTTAAAGCCAGCCGCCACAAGGCAGCTGGCCCCTCACAGCTCACCTCTGGAGCTGGAGAACGCTTCACATCGGCCCCTCTGAGGGGCAAAGCCGCTCGACTGTTTTTGGTTTGGGAGGATTTGCTGCAATCTGACGGAAACGAGAGGATGAAGACAGTCCTGTTTTGCTTTAAACAGCTCAGAATGTGTGGAATCCCAACTGAAAGCGGCCTGAGCCTCCATGACCCTGACCTCTCCCTGGCTCTGGGCTGTGCTGGGAGTGAGGGCAGGAATCTGCCTCTCTGCTCACCTGGAGCCCCATCAGAAGCCCCACCACAGGTGGAGTCCCGGAGCATACAGCCAGCCAGCAGACAGCTCACAGGAAGGCTGAGAACCGCTTTCCTCTGGAGGGGAAAGTCACTTCCAGGGCACGCAAGGGCGGTGAGCGTCCAAACAGCAGATAGCACCTATCAGCATTTATATTCAAAGCAGCTCCAGGGCCGGAGGGGCAGGAGGAGCAGCTCCTGTGGCCTCAGACTGAGCTCTGTTACCTCTGAGTAGTGTGTTTGCAGATGCTTGTCAGCTGTGGCTGCTCCTGGTATGCCCCTGGAGCCATAACCCTAACCCCTAACCCCTCACCCTCACCCTAACCCTAACCCTGACCCTGACCCTGACCCTAAACCCTGACATGTGGCTGGTCCGTTAGCAGCTGCTGCTCTGGGCTCTTCTCTCCTCACATAACAGAATGTTGCCTAAAGGTGGAGCCACTTTCACTGTTTACATTCAGATTATGGACAGGATCAAGCAAACGTCTGGCTCTTATGTAGACAAAGCTCCTTGGTCCTGTTGTGGTGCCTCTGTGACCCTGATGTGGAAACACAGGTCTCATTCTGGGGGCTTTCAGCCTCTAACGGCTTCTCTGCTGTCTGCTGCTCACTGTGTGAACACAGAGCTTCTGACTGGTCGGCCCGATGCCAGGCAGCAGGAACTGGGTTACCACACATTCGGGCTGGTTCTTCCCGGTTCTGCCCACTCACGCTGTGACTGTGTCCCCCAGGTCTGAGTCCGGTCCCCCTCCAGAGGACGGGGAGGCTGCCCCCAGCCGGCTGGACAGAAAGCCATTTTCTGTCCATGGATCCAGAGTGAAGGTCAGTCAGGCCAGCTCCTGTTTGCCAGAACTGCTCCTTTCACAGCTCATCTGAGAAGGTTTTTCAGCTGGTCCTGGGCCAGCTGAGGGGCTTTTACTGGATCATCCAGGTCCAGTGTTCCAGTCAGAACCGATGAAGAACGGGGGAAACGAGGGAGGCTGCCCACAGGAGCAGGCCTTTGCTGAGGTGGAGGGAAGTGGCCAGCAGAGGGCGCCCTGCAGCTGCCTGCAGCTCTGAGCTGAGGCCAGGAAGATGCTGCCAGACCATGGACCATCTCAGGGTCCCACACGGTTCTGGACCATCTCAGGGTCCCACACGGTTCTGGTTCTGCTGGTTTCAGGCTGTGCTGCTGGAGGCCGCCGCTCGGGGAAAGGCCTGAAAATGAGCAGGGTTGGCCCCCAGGGGTCAAAGGTCACCCCCCCTGCCGCCGCCTCGGCCCCTGTTAGCTTAGCTTTAGCTCGGCGGTAGGAGCAGAAACGAGCTTCTTAGAATCCGGCTGATTTCGGTGGATCGAAGAGCAGCTGATTGGACAGAAAGCTGCTCCTGTCTTTCTAAGACTAAAGCATCTATCAGATCATGTTCTACCAGTCTTTCATCTCTGAGGGTGCGGTAGCTTTAGCCTGGAATGAGCGTAGGGTGCCAGCTCCTTTGTTTGGGGAGGAATTTAGTAATCACCTGCTTGTGAACTCTGAGTGGCTGCTGTTGGAGCTCGGATTCATGCAC